TTGGGTCCTTCTCGGGGTTGAAAATCAATTTTGATAAATGTGAACTGCTTCCCCTAGATACTGTAAATTCAATCGATATGACCGCGTGGCCTGACAGATTCAGGCTACGAGTCAACAATCAATCCGTCCGCTACTTGGGTATACAAATCCCACGGTCAGCGACGGATCTTTATAAGTTAAACTGCCCCCATTTTCAACACCATCACCGAGCTCAGAAACTGGCGGGATCTTCCCATCTCTACGTTGGGAAGGTGTCACTTAATTATGATTAGTTTTGCTCGCCTCCTCTATCCAATGCAGACAATCCCCTTACTAATTAAACATAAGGACGTCCAAGCACTACATAAGGCCTTCTCCCAATTCATATGGAAAGGGAAGAGATCCAGGATTGCACTATCCAAGCTGCAACACCCCACATCACAATTAGGCGCCAATATGCCCAACATCAGACTGTACAATTTGGCCAGTATCTTTCGCCATGTCCGCGACTGGTTACTGGATTCCTCCTTTTTTACCAACACAATATTAGAACAACAACTAGTCTACCCATGGTCTCTTTCAGGGGTCCTACATACTCCACTCATTCGCCTTCCCCCTTCTATAAAACGCAACATCCTCCTAAGAGATACCATAATCACATGGAGAGAGGTGAGAACTTTTTCAGTTGACGGGAATGGCATCACCATTGATGCCACTACTCACTACCCCCGCCTTCCCGGCTGGACACGACTCCCCGGTTTTCCACCAGTGGAAGGCCAGGGGAATTCATATTTTACGAGATATGATCACAGTACAGGGGAAATGCAAGACTCTGGGGGAGCTCCAGCACGAATTTCATATTTCAACAAATCACTTCCTTCAACATGCTCAAACAAAGCACTTTATTGATCATAATCTTCCCACAGCTAGTGCAGAGTCTAACTCAATGCTACTAAGGCATTTGTTATCTTCCCCGACCCGGAAGATGCCCTTATCCTCCATACATCATCACTTATACTCCACGGCATCTTCTTTATCAGGGGTAATCCCCAATTATGTCTATAAATGGGCGGAGTTTTTGAATTTGTCTCTGGAATCTACGCACACCCTTCTACTGAACGGTTGGTCACAATTGAGAAGAGCAATAGTCAGTGAATCGTGGAGGGAGATTCAATTCAAGATCATCCATAGGGCATACTACGGCTTTAACATCATCATGAACCATAGCCCATCAGATTGGCTGAGATCATGCCCGAAATGTCATTCTTATTTACCCGACCTGACACACCTTATGTGGTCCTGCCCCCAGATACAAGCACTTTGGGCGGAGGTCGTCCTCTACATGAATGTCCACTCTGGAAAGGATAGAACCCCCTCACCTGATATTTGTCTATTCCACTACCCTACTCCTGAGCTAACCGACCCACCCCACACATTATCCAGGTGGGAACATCTATGCATTATAAGCGCAAAGAAAGCAATATTGACTGACTGGCTTTCCCCCACCTCCATATCAGTGGATAAGGTACGGCCACAACTTCACCGACTCATGCTGATGGACAAATTAGACACGAAATTTAACATGTAACGCACAAAGACATTTTTTGACACTTGGTCTTCATTTTTAACTACTGAACTGTCCCTGGAACAACTACGCGAAGTAATGATTATTTTTCAACACTCCAAATGGTTTCTTACTGCCAAGCTGGCAAATTCATTAGGTGCTCTCGATGTCCTTTGAGATGTTTTACGAACGCTCCCATTCATCTTATAATCCACCACATGAAACCCCGATTCACACCTCCTTCCACAGGAGACTTCTGATACACCCATTAACACTCAACAGTTAGGCTCACTGAACACATGAAATTCATAGGAAATGTGGTTACTTTTCTTTATTATACCAATAGTAATATACAAAGTATGGTTTAGGTGTTAAAATCTAAACATTGTTGTTAGAATGTTCCATTGGCGTATAGTGTTCTACGCCATGGTCTCTACGGGAACATTTCCCGCACATATCAAGGTACATGAAGGTGTCACTAGAGAAGAGATTCATCTTTTATTCTACTCATAGTTATGTTATTAGTCACCAGTCATTGGTATGCCTTCTTTCTATTACTACACACCTATTTGTATGCCTTGTGATTTTGTCATTACATGTTTGTTATACTATACGTTGATCATAAATAAAAATTACATGCAAAAAAAAAAAAAGAACACTTTTCTGCCACAGGTCAGAAAGCCCAAAGAGCAATATCTGAAGTCCGGCCCTACTTTTTTGTCCCATAAACACCCCCAACTTCCTTGGACAACGGAAACAAGTCCACCAAGACCTTTTTCCTCTGCAAATCCCAAACGTCCACGGCAGTCCAAGTCCGACAAACCTGCCGAGAGGCCTTCTTCCGCATGAATGTTTGAGAACCAGAGGTGGGGGCAGGGTGGGGGGTTGCGTTGCCTTCAGGAATTTGCAGACCTTTAATTTGTCTCGCGTTCAGGATGGGGTCGACTTGGTTCTGTGGTCGCTTCTCTCCATCAGGGGATCTCCTTTTCTCAATAGACATAAAGGATCCCTAACTTCTGTTGAGGGCCAAATCTCACTCCGAATTGGTGGCCTACCTAGCAATTATGATGCAGACTTTGGAGGCGTTCAGTTGGATTTTGAACCACAGGAAGTCATCCCTGTCCTGGTTGGAGTATCTGGGCCTCATCTTAGACACGACCTTGACCATGGCGTTAACTCCACGTAAGCTTCGGACGCTTCTGACTCATGTCAGGCTTCTACGCTGGTCATCAATACGCTGCTGCATGCAGGTGCTGGGCCTGATGATGGCTTACTTTGAAGTGTTTCCTTTGGCACATTATACCAGCGTTGTGCAGATGGACATTCTGTTGCAATGGGATAACACCCCATTGTCGCTGGACAGGGAAATTTGTGTCAGTCGAACCACGCGGGCCTCTCCTCTAGTGGCTTCGTTCTCTAGCTCTTCTGACCCGCAAGTCTTTCCTACCACTGCGCTGGATGGCCGTGATGACCAATGCCAGTCACCTTGGGTGGGATGCATGTCGACTCACGTTGGTGGTTATCTGAGGAATTAAGTCTCCTGATAAATTTAGATACTGCAATATAGTGGAGAAAGTCAGACCCTTTGTTTAGGGAAACAAAATTAGGGGTTTCAATGGTGTTACACAATATCGGTCATATAAAACCCAAATATTTTGACGGGGGGGACAGTATGGAGTTTAACAAAGTTGGAAAATGTATACAATACGTACCTATCTTGTGACATTTTGTAACCAGAAAGGCACTTGAAAAAAGTTATACTATTGCCCCTCCCTGAACTAAGCTAAACTGCTTTGGCTCCTGCTAATGACAACAATAATAAAACCATAACATGGGCTAAAATAGCAGTGGTAGTATTTGTTTAAGATATTACCTTTCCCGGCACTGCGGGATGCTTTGATGCAAATATAATTCCCATAAAATGCCACAGAGAAGGCCCATGGAGACGTGCCCATTGGATAAGAGATATAGTTTTAATTGGCCAAAGGCCCAAATTTTCGCAAATATCTTCATATCCACATTTATTAAACACATTGGCCTATAACTTGCACACTGTGTACGATCTTTCTGATCCTTCTGCATCAATGCAATATACGCCTCCTGACTCTGTTGTGGTAGACCACATGTGTCATTAATTACATTGAATACAGTGCGCATGAAAGAAACCAGCTCGTTCGTGAACTGTCTGTAAAAGACTCCCGTTATCCCATCCGGGCACGGGCTCTTCCCCAGCGGCATTGAGTGTATTGCCCCTGTTAGCTCCTCCATTGAAAAAAGGTATCCAAAAAGTCTATCGCTTCACTTTCCGGTCCAGGTAAGGCTGCCTATATATTTTAGCCTATCTTGTTCTAGCCTCTCCTCCCTATTCTTTCCATGCCCCCCTAAATTATATAAGTTCTCAAAATAATCATGGAAAACTTCACTTCACCCATACCCTGATGTGGAATTTTGGGGGTTTTATATTAAGATTGTAATGTTGGGAGGACACTCACACACACACACTCACTCACACACACACTCACACACACACACACTCACTCACTCACATTTAGTACTACTATAACCACCTCCTGAGTGATCCTGTTCCACTGGCTTTTAATTTGACATTTGTCAATGACAACAGCTGATTTTGTTTGCTAGTTGCGCTGATTTATTTAATGAAAAACTTAATGCAGTCCAGCAGCCCCCATTTTGGGCAGTTATTTGCCTCGTGCCAATAGAAACTCAGAATAAGTCTTGGTTTTATACAAAGTGTGTTTTGATGCCGAGGGGCATTGTGTACATGTGGGAATCTTCAGAGTGGTGGTTTGAGGTTAATAGGGAGATCTACTCCATAAAACCACTGGTGAGCTACAGCACCTGATATGTTTTAACCTGTGAAACCTGTCAAGTACAGGACATTGACTGTTTTAGGTAGCATTTGTATACCATCAATTCAGAGAAAAATGTTGTGGCAAAGGAATTCAATAAAAAACATGGCACAGATATTAGATCCCTTTTGCGTCCAGGGTTGACAGACCCAGAGACTAGGTTTTTGGACGAAGTATTTTGGATCTTCACTCAGAATACTAGATTGCCTAAAGTAATTAATTTTGAATGTGATGTGTTTACATTTACTAATAATGGTAGTGACTGGGTGCAATTATTTTCTTCCACTGCTGCCTTGGTGATCACATGATCAGGAACCATGCTGATTTCTTCCTGTTTTGGAATCAGCATTGTTAGTGACATTGTGGTCTTGTAACAAAATGTGCACACTCCTAATTCTAAAACTGAATGTAGATTTGTTTTCAGCTCCGGGCACACTGCACTTGCAATTTGTAGATCAGCGTTTACAGACAGGTTAATGAGTGTGAGCGCCATATGCTTAAATCGTTCTACTTCTATTCTACAAATTGGGATTTTTTAATTCCTTTTTTTTTCTCCCATTCTCATATGTTCCCTCAATTTGTTGCAGGAGTTGAAAGATATTGGCCACCGGGATCAGATGGCTGCAGCTCGTGGAATTCTGCAAAAAAATATTCCGATCCTTTACACTGCTTCCCAGGCTTGTCTGCAGCATCCTGATGTAGCAGCCTACAAAGCAAACAGAGACTTGATCTACAAACAGCTCCAACAAGCAGTCACTGGCATCTCAAATGCAGCTCAGGCCACATCATCTGAAGAAATTACTTCACAGAATGGAGGAGGAGAGCTTGCTATTGCGCTAAACAATTTTGATGTGAGTGTGTCTATATTAAGTTTGGGTTGAGGGTTATTTCATAGTGGCCAGTAACATATATAAATTGGCAGAATATATA